TTACTAAGTGATGTGGTGCTGCAAGATGTATTCAGCTAAATGAGTTTTTACAAGATGATTAATAGTGAGTGATGCTCATGTGATTAACAGGGAGAACATAAGTTGTAACCTGGGGGAGTACACTCCCAACTCATGTCTATGATAATGGCTTGAACCTTAGTCAGTGTTGGGGTAAATTCGACATTGTTTTCAGTTTGCAGGAGATTCGCTCGACTGCTTATACTGATTATTTGCATGCATGATTGTGTCGCTAAACCATCAATTAGACTGACAAGGTTTTGAGATATTTACTGAATGAGCAACTGATAGAGAAACATACTGTAATCATCTGTGATGGATGAAGATACCAAGAAAACAACACCATTTAATGGTAATTATAAGTCAATTTGTTGACCGATTTCGTTAATAGTTTCATTAATTTTATCAGTCATATTACGTGATTGTCAAGTTATGACAATGCTTTATGACGATATCCTGAAACTATTAAATTTAACTAGTTATAGTGTTGATTAAGGATTAGTCAGTGGAAAAATAGGTATTGTTACTTTAAGTGATTCGAAATCATCAGAAATTTACAACGTTAAAGAATCCGAGACGCCTAATTTAATTATAAATTTCAATTCAGAAAAATTCGTTTAGCGTTAATTCTAGTAGGCTACGGAGTTTTAATTTTAAACGTTTGTTTAGCCAACAGCTACCTGGGGATTTAGTTATTTTACTAGTGCAGTTGACAGTACCTAAATTTTTAATCTTATTATCTAAACTATGTTCGCATTTTAGGCTGCTAATATGACAAACCAATCCATAAACCCAAATACGATTAGCAACAACGACTATGATGGGTTTATTGATAAATGTTAAAGGCGATTCAGATGATTTCTAAATTTAGAAGACATGGAGATATAGTGTAACGTATGTATGGGCCAGGTTAACAAGGAGGTTGTTGACGTATATGACGATCTAAAAATAATAAACATGACCAGAAAATAGTTTTAAAGTTTAGACTGCTTGTGAAACTTCAGGCAGTAATATGATGCGTTATAAACATTCCATAAGAAGTTACTGCATTTAGCCTAGGGACACTTACAAATATATAGCAAAAGGAACCGGAAAACATATACATGTTAAGTAAAAAAAAATCATTAAGTAAAATAGTTGAACTCGCCTGGGTTATTTTTGAAAATTAGATTATTCAGTGGACGACATATATAACGCCATTCGTGAGGAGTAGTAATGATCCAAAAGTATCCAGAATAAAACATGCAGTATGGCAATTAATCCCGGGGTGCTTGATGCTGTTGACGTTTTCGCCACTCGCTCGGATTAGAACAACCGAATGAATTCAGATAATTGTGCGGTCACCATTGAACGAGCCATCTAAAATGACCTTATGATTGCAGAAAACTTATGGCTGAAACTCAACGTATGTTTTTAGAGAAGTGTCATCCTTGTTGTTTGGCAATGGAACTCGAAAATTTGAAATTAGGCAGGCAGTGGTCGGAAGAAAAGATATTACAGGATAGTGTATAGTTTAAAACAGGATGAGGTAATAAGATAAGGAACACTGAATATTAGATCCAGGTAACTATTTAGTCCTTGCTGCATTGTTAGTCAATGTATATTTGCGTTATTTACAGGTCATATTTGGTAGAGCTTGATGCTTAAACAAGTCTATGTCGCTGAAGCATGTAAATGCTATTACAGCTTGTTAACAAACCATCAAAGCTAATTAGTTAGTATAGACGACCAGTTTTTATTATCGACTGAGCTAGTATGTCATGAGAACTAATCAATATAACATTACGATAATACATGTGAGCATTAATCAGGACTGTTAGAATATTGGGTTAACATAAATACAAAATAGATCAAGAAATTTAAATGGTTCAAATGGTTGTGGACGGAATAGAAGAAGCTTTCGCCTAACAGGCTTCCGTGTCTAGTAGCAGGGGATCACGAAATCCTCCAGGCAGGAACCTAGGTATGTTAACAATAAAAGAGGAAAAGAAATTGGTAAATCATAGTGTGATGCTGTCCTTGGTTCTTAAGAATAGGTCAAGTTGCCTCTTGAAGGACTCCTGAGAAGTCGCTTGGACTAGCTCGGCCGGCAGCGAATTCCAGCTTTTGACAACTCTTAAGGAGTAGAAGTTGTGTCTACATTCCGTCTTGCTATGTTGTGTTTCCAGTTTCTGGGTGTTACCCCTTAGGTTATTATTCGAACTAAGCTTAAGTAGGTGTTTAAGAGGATGTCCAGAAGTGTTAAGAATACTATAAGCCATTAATAAATCACCTCTAAGACGCCTATATTCTAGTGGGTAAAGGTCTAGTGAACGGAGGCGTTCTTCGTAAGGCTTAGATTTGAGTCCTCGAACTGATTCCGTGGCTCGCCGTTGGATACGCTCCAAAGTGACCTTGTCCTTTTGGAGTGAGGGGGGGAGTACTATGTTTCCGTACTCTAAATAGGGACGGATGAAACTATTGAAGATTGTGTGGAAAGTTCTTCCGTCAAACTGGCCAAAAATGCGCCTCAACGTTACCAGTGCAGGGTTTGCTCGAAAGGCATTTTTGTCACAGTTAGCGTAAGACTTTAAGTCATGGGGCACCAGGACTCCTAAATATTTTTCGACTTGGGATACTACTAGAGAGGAGTTTCTTAAGTTGTAACTGTAGTTTGCGACATGTCGCAGATGGACTACTTTACACTTTGAAGTGTTAAAGGTAAGTCCGTTATCGTCTGCCCAACTTTGAAGTCGCGTCAGATCCTCCTGAAGTGCCTGTGTATCGTCTTGGTTGCGTATCTCTCTCCAAAGTTTCACGTCGTCGGCAAAAAGTAATAAGTCTGACGTTACCTGTTGAGGAAGATCATTTATGTAGATTAAGAAGAGAAGAGGCCCTAGTACTGAGCCCTGGGGGACCCCACTAGGACATTCCATAGCCTGAGATAAAGTGGAATTAACCCTAACCTTAAAGTGTCGATTTTTTAGGTATGAAGTAAGCCAATCGATTAGAGGTGGTTTGATACCTAGTCGTTTGAGCTTGTTGATAAGACACAAGTGGTTAACCTTATCAAAAGCTTTTGAGAAATCAAGGTAAATGACATCAACCTTCCCCTTGCAATCGAGGATGCTTGTCCATCTGTCCACCGCAGTCAGCAGGTTGGTTATACAAGAGTAACCCTTCCTGAAACCATGCTGTTGGGGTTAGAAGAAATTTAAGGACAGTAGATAGTCATTTAAACCGTCGCATATCAGGGACTCCATGAGTTTTGAAGGTAATGACAGAAGAGCCACCGGCCGATAACTTGAAGGTTCATTGCGTCGACCACCTTTGAAAATTGGTGTGATGTGAGCCAACTTCCAATTTTCCGGTAATTTGCCTCGGCTAAGCAAGTGTGAAAACATCACGCTAAGCGGCGTTGCCAGAATTGAGGCTGCCTCCCTCAGTATGGCAGGATGAACCATATCCGGGCCAGGAGAAGTGTCAAGTCTTAAGTGCTGCAATTTCCGGAACACCAAGTCAGCGCTTAGGTCCACTTCAGAAAGTCCTGTGGAATTGCAGATGAAACTGTCGTCAATAAAGTTGATGTCAGCCGGTTGAAATGTTTGAGAGTAATGTGCCGCCAGAAGGTTAGCGGCGTCGCCATCGTTGTTGGTCGGGCCGTTAAGACCTAGCAGTTGAGAAACTCCTGTTTTGGCTTGACGAAGAGAGGCTGCATAACGGAATAGGCTTCTAGGGTTAGAGGCGAATTTGTCCATAAGCTTTGTTTGGTACTGAAGCCTGTCTTGGAATGGAAATAAGATTAACAATATTAGGTTTCGTTTCTCTAGTCGGGCTTACCAATGTAGAATTATGGCCTACTATGATATTAGTACTGCTCTAATAATAGACCTAATCCTAAATTTGTAGATTTGTCATGATATAACTGCCTAATCTATAAGATCTTATGTGGAAGTCACACCATCGACTACACCAACTCACTGTACCGTATCAATTACCAATATATGATGTAGAACAAGGTTAGGCTGGAGAAAGAACAATATATTTAATATGAATAGAAGATATAAGGTAACATTCAGCAGAGACCATGCCACTCGATCAACCCCAGTCCATTCAACTCATTGTTCGCGCCTTCTCCATTGTTAGGTATTTCCCCGAGTTAAATATTGAATATCTATTTTCTGAGTAGTCTCGTGTTCACAGCTTTGTGGATTGTGTGGCTATTGTCCAATGCCACTACAGATGTTCTCATCCTTCAGTCCAGCGTGTGAGGTCGTGGATGCGCACTCAAGTGGGATGACTAGAAGTGTTTAGTGTTGTCAGTCACTAAAAAGTATCTTCAAAGTTAACTAGATTCTTAAAGACTAAAAGTTTCAGTGATCTGTTGGGCTAATCACTTAGTTTAAAGTTAAGTCCTCTTACCGGCTTCGTAGCTTTGGAGTGTAAACACTCCAGAGTATAAAATTCACTTGGTATTGTTTACGTGAATCTTCGCATTGATATTTAGGATTGCAACTGATCAGTCTCTATTGACATATGTGCATACTGCGCGTATCGCCTCGATATCGCCTTAATTCACAGGCATTATAAGCAAAGATGGATAGTAAATAATATTAAGTGAATTTAAACTTCACCCTATTGCATAAGCAAGTGGCTATCAGGACTCGGTGGCTAATGAGATAACGCGACGGCGTTTGAAGTGAACGGCACTGAGTTCGAGTCCTAGGGTGCAAACCAACTCTGAGGTGCAGGTACATCCAGCTGATAAGTCCCAAATAGAACGAGACGTGTGCCCATGGTTCCATTGCTATCTATTATTCATCTTTGCTTATAAATCCATAGTATTATTGTCTGCCTTGAAAAAGTAAATAAACAACATAGAACATTGCAGGACTTATAATAAAATATGCCTGGATATCGAAACGTAGAAAATATCAGTTCTTATATAATAATTTTTTCAACCAGGGATTGAAAATTGTAAATCTCGTTTAGCTCGCCCTCACGTTTGATTTCTGAATTGCGCTACAATGTGCGCTCTGAACCTTGACATTGGTTCCTTCGAGAAGAGGATAGCTAGATTATATGCAGATTGGGAGGTAGAGACATAATTGATTCTTTACTGATTATTTCATATCTCAAGGATTTCAATAGTCAACTTCATGATGTAGAGTCTATAATTGTACCAGCTGGGAAGGTGGATAGTGTATACGGAAAAACCTTATCACTACACGTAAATTTTGTATTTTCACTCTTCATATATATATATATATATATATATATATATATATATATACAGATGTGGCTTTTTGGATATGAGTTGCAAGACACTGTAATCGTATTCAATAAACAGTCGATGATTGTGTTGTGTGGGAAAAAAAAGTTGGATTTCTTACATCCCTTAGAAAACCGTCATTTTGGCAACCGCACAGTCGTTCTAATCCCAAGAAACCCAGTAAGTTAGATGTAGAACTATATTTCGTGCAGGCTGACAAAGATAAGGCAGGCCTAAAGAAGCTAGTTGATTGTATCAAGTCCGGTGCAAAGAATAATAAAGTGGGTCACTTGGCCAAAGATAAATTCATATCAGAGCTCACTGAATCCTTCATGTCATCCTTGCAAGAGGAAAAATTTCAACTTGTTGACATCTCTAACTCCATCAGTGAAATCCTAGCTACCAAGGATGAAACAGAATTAATACTGTTGAAAAAAGCTTGTGATATTACATGCAATCTTTTCACTAAACACTTAAAAGAGCAAATTATGGACGTCATTGACTCAGACAGAGTAAGCAATAGTTTTTTGTTGTGCATAAAATAGTTATCCGTAGATTATTTGATATAGAACATCATGTGATTAGTATTGTTTAGTAATCATTCATGAACGATTTAAACTCAATATGTGCTGCCAAAGCGATAGAAAGTTCTCACAGCAATAGCCATGCTCTCACTATATGTCCATATCTAAAAGGAAAAAGATCGTTAATGTTCTCTTGTTTGCACTACGTAGCTAATTTATCTGTTCCGTTGATAGACAGCTTGTTATCACCTTCAGGGTAGTTAATTGCTGCCTGATGCCAAATATATATTGAGATAAACCCTATTAAAATCTAAGCTAGCAAATTAACAGGATTTGACTATTTTCCATCAGAAGTGAGGGATAAATATGAACTATTCTAGTGTTTCGTGGCATCGTAGTATTGAATATTGTTATTTAACAACTACTTGGAAACCAAGTCTGTAAAATCAGCGTGCCAAAAATTATGTCGACGTACCGAGGTCTCTTGTTGATCACTAACGGTCGTTAAGGTTTTGATGATCTATGGTTGAATCTAGTAACATTGGATAGTTTTCATCATGGTGCCTCACTCCCCATTTTTACCTGGGACTATCGTAGGTATGCTCTTTGAACTAGCGCTTTGTGTAATTCGGAGATTGAAGTATTTGGTGACTGTGACTGAGTGTTAACAAGTACTGCAGTTCTGCTTACTGAAAACTCCAATGAAATAGAGTATTTAAATAGTAATGATCCTGTTGTAGCTTTACAAATTGCTATGGTTGTATCCCAAAGGCTCTACCAATGGGCCACATGGGCCCCAGGAACCTAAAGAACAAATGGCGTATAGGCCTATTGTTAGTCATCGGTTACCATAGGACTGCATCCCCAAACGTTGCTTCACTGTCTTGTGAATTAGACCTCTAGGTCAAAGGCTCGGGGTGTGGCCACCTAAGAAAACCACCTGCTTCGGTTTGGGCATCCAAGTGGTATCACAACCTACATACAAACCAAGTGACCTGTTTGGCGCATATGTATTCGGTGCCTCTTTTACTTATATTTGTGTTCAAATAATTAGATAATATGGCATTTCATAATTTACCTTTCCATTTCAAACCATGTCAGTAATAGAAAACTATTATTTCAGCTCATTTGGTGTACTTACTGACTTCATCCTCCTGTGTTTATATAGTCTGGAAACCTGGCCGATACTTGTCCCAGGTTCTATTTTTATTACTAATGGACTCATGAAGCCGAAAGATCAATTGTCATTAACCTTCAAAATAAATCCAATAGTCAATGAAGTTCTCTGACTTAGAACCCCCGTTGAAACCCCCCCTTTGAAACATTAATCGTGTATGCCCGAATCACCAGGCTTGGAATGCTCAAGTTAAGTAGAGAGTGCGTCGGTGACTGTTACGATTGGAAAAATGAACTCTTTCCGCTCACTGCCATTCGATTTCTTTTGAAGACTCAGTATTCTATAAATCAAAGTGTGCTTAATACGCATACCCTCTATGTGTTAAGTTTAAAAAAGTCATACCATAATTTATCTGTTGTCGTTATGCTTATCATTGGATGGTAGAATTTTAGGATAATTACTTCGTTTATATATTATATTATATATATATTATATATTTGGACACATGAATATTGGTACAAGAGAGCGCCAATATATATGCGCCACACAGAACAATGAATATTCGAAGAGGAATACAAAGAAAGAAAAAAAAAAGCTGAGGAGCACAAAAAAAAAGAGAACAATAACTAAGAGATTAGTGTAAGGTAATGTGCTAGTAATCAGGGAACGGAAAGGTACAATCAGAAGAAATCTTTCAGTTAAGGGAGACACAACCACTTTTTATGAAGAAAGTAAAAGAAGGTTACAGCAGGATCGCCACTGGCTTCTATTATGAGCCATATCTGATAACGTCTCTAGCCACTGTGTAGCACCATCTCTTGGGCCCCAACCAGGGAGTCGTGAAGGACCGACAGAGGCTAGTCCTTTGCAGCTTTCTTTCATACCACGACACCATGTCATGCACTGACCACCTCTCCGCTTCTTTCAATCAGTCCCAGAGTCGGCAAATACTTCGTTTGGATGAGGATTTATGGAAGCTGGTACATGTATAACACATCTCTTGTATCAAGAAATGATGTTCATTGATAATTGGATTATGATTTAAACAAAGCATTAGGTTAGTCATATGTACGCATGATTTTATTTCATGAACTCACTGATTACCAATTTATAGATCTTGACTGAAATCCTTGAGATGCTACAAATTAAGTCAGCTGTTTGATACTGTCGATCAAGAAACTCAATTATTTGGATAAAGTCGACTATGTGATTGGTCATTAAACTAATCTTTGAGTAAGGTATAAACGTTATCCACTAAATTTGTATTTATCGTATGTTTGAAATCATTAAGTTGTAGCTTAATTTATTTTTTGGTACTTCATCTGTAGAAAGTTAAACATGAAAAGCTTTCTAGTGGTTGTCAAACCGCACTAAGAAACTCAAATATTCTGTCAGGTTTAGATCCTGATAATGTAGAAATGTGCTATGATCCAATTATTCAGAGTGGAGGAACGTATAATCTTAAATTTAGTATTGAAAGGTGAGCTTTTTATGCTTTTTCTCCTAATAATAATATCCAAAGAGATTAATCTAAAATTCCACTAGTTTTGTGTTGCATTTAACATTTGCAAATTAAATCTCATTCTACTCATTTTAATCTTCACTATTTTATGTAATTTATCCGGTTATTCAGAGCAACATAAGTTCATTTACTGTTTATCTCCCTGTTGATTGTGAAGACTATGTTAGTGCAGGTCATTCTATTCACTACTTACTGTTCTGGATTCTGCTCACGAATGACAATTTTTCTGGATTTGAGTTGTTTTCCAGATTGTAGATAATCTGTTGACAAAACGCAATAATCGTCCTAAGTGATCAACGTAATTACTACTCCAAACTGTCACAGAAAAATTATATCGCTTTTCCTTGTTACTTCATTATATCTGTCTGTGATTGTTAATAGATTTTCAATGAAAACTATGAATCAATTCGACTAATGATATTTAAGAAATTTTTTCGGTTAACTACCTATTCTTTCCGTCATCTGGCTGTAAATGTTTTAAGAACGTAATAAATGATCAATAGTAACTGAAAATCAGTTATTCATTAAACACGCTTGTGAATACTCACTAGGATTAACTTAAGAATGGGAAACTCAAACGAAACTGATATTAATGAGTAAAAAGAAAGGTCAGGAAACTCTATATAAATCGTCAAAGACAATTTAAATGGAAGCAATTTTAGCACTTACCCAGTAAAATGCTGTTTGCTAGATTATTATTTGCTTATTTTTGGTCACCTCCAGCCCCCGAATGCCCTGGTACAGCCGAGAGTGGGGAGCGTCCGCTCTCCCTCTCGAAATACTCTCACACGGCCACGCGTATACAGCCTCTGCCAGGGAAGTCTTACTCATTGCCTTCTCGTGGCGGGGGTGTTGTTTACGAAAATGTGAGGACGAAAAGTGAATGTCCGGCGCTTTAACCGGATCACAAACCAATGGTGCACATGTGCTCCAGTATCCTGCGGGAACAAATGGCGTGTGAGCCATTCGTTGGTCACCGGCTACCATGGGATTGCATCTCCTTACGATGCTTCACTGCCTTGTGGGTTAGACCTTTAGGTCAAAGGCTCGGGGTGTGGCCCCCTAAGATAACCACCTGCTTCGGTTTGGGCACCCGGGCAGTATCACAGCCCACACACAAATGATGGACTCTTTATGGTCACCTCCATTCTTATTATTTAAAAGTAATAAGAAAATTTCACGCAGATGGTTTTTTTCACATTTAACACATTCTGCAGAATATCACTAGTCCCTGGCCCTCATATAAATAGTGTAGCTCGAAACTAAGTTTTGCACTTGTACGTCAGACAGAACAGTAATAATACGGCTATTTGATTAGTAACATTTCATTGAAATATTGCAATCACGAGGTTCTGTTTACCCTCAGTTCACCAGTCTTATTTATCACGTATGTACTTTCGTTACAGTTTACTGTTATTTTCTTATTTTATATCTCTACTACGTAGATGTTATATGAGGACCGTACTTATTTTCGGATCCGCTAGTATAAATATTTTATCACCGTGTAAAGATTAGATAGCATCTTATACTTGGCAAACTACTTCTTTCTACGGGTATATAATTTAACTGTGAGATCATCTTCCATAGGCACAGAGTGAAAGCACTTGATGGCGTTGACGAAGAGATGAGTAGACCATGAGTAATATATATAAAGTTTTAACTCAGCACCTTACTGGTTTGTATTGTCAATCAGTTCGAGGCTTCAACTAATATCTAAATTATACTACCAATTCTTTCATTCCAAATGTATGTTAAATACTCATCATTTAAGGAAGATTGTACATTTGTGATTCCTGACCACTTCCTCTATTGATTCCCTATTTGTTCTTGGCAATTGATTAACTTTATTTACGATTGACTCGGCCGTTGTAGCGACTTAAAACTTGTAAAATGAACTGTGGAAGTTAGGATGATGTCTTACTAGTTTCCCACTAAAATGCTTTGTAGCTCACTTCAATTTATCATTCATTGGTTATACTTCTTGCTACTGGATATTAACTATGGAGATAATTTTATATATTTGTTCCTTGGAATTATTTTAGTGACACCCGGACTCTTCATTTCGGGATTATTATTTGCTCCTTAGGAGTGCGTTATCAGTCCTATTGTTCTAATGTAATCCGTTCTCTTATGGTCAATCCTACAGATGAGCAGTCTGCTAATTACACTTATTTACATGATCTATTTGATTGGTGTATAGAACAAATTAAACCGGGTAAGTATTCCAAGTCATATGTTTTGTCATACATTATGTGCGCTTCTAAGTTTTCTTGTGTGCCTTGCCTGCCCTGTATAACTAGTACAAGGAGTTATTTTTTCATATAACCTTGATAAATATTTAATCTTATTCCATAATCCTAAAATCCCCGTAAAGTGGCGAAAAATTCACTTGTCTTACTGAAGCTGTATGTTGTATTCTTCAGAATCAAGTGAGTACACTTTTTTCTACAGTTCATGTTTGTTTGTCACTGCTATCATTATAAGTACTCTTAGGTTCCAGTGGCCATTTTTTGTAAACTGATAGGTTCTAATGAAATAACAAGATGTGGAATGTAACTCACTATTCATTTCGTTGATGTTCCTTAACTACAATTCGACCAGATATCTTCGTAAGAATAGTATGTTATTGTAACATGTGTTTATTTATTCGAGACTTCAACTTAAATAATGACTACAATTTCTGAAATTCCTCTAGTTGACTAGAAAAACTAATTTCTTCCAGTCAATAAGCGTCAGTCAGTCAGTCAGCTACAACGTAGGACCAGGCATATATATGCATCGGTCCAAGTTGCCATACCTCATTAACACAACAAGATGGACACCGGATTCATAAAAGTAAAATGAAATATAATTTAGTCTTTTGTGAAGTAAGAACAAGTTTACATGTATTTACTCTTATGTGTAGAATGAGTTGATTTCCTCACTAAGGATTGTTAATCAACCGAGTGGAACAGTGGACAGTGAAAATTTGTCTAAGTGTTACTAGCCCATAAAACTACTCACTGTCACTGTATGCCGAATACAAAGTTATAGCTTTTTTTAAGTGGATAATGATGATGCTGTAAATCATTGACTCGAGATTCACGATAATAACTAACCATCTATCAAAGCCGCTCACGTCCAGTCACTATTTACCTTTCTTTTCTCATTTAACATTTTCGTAGCTTTTAAAGGAACATTTTTAGATTTCGATGGATATTGTTTATGCAGTGTTATGAAAAACTTCTAGGTTAATAAATCCACTTTTTTCCAAGGCCATTCATTATGTATATATCTGTTCCTCTACCAGTCATATATTTTCATTCATAGTTTGTGCATATATATGTGTAGATTTATTGGCTTATGGTGTTTAGTTTTCTGTTATTCACAGCCTGAAGAAACGTTGAAGTTTGATTAAAAACAGACATGTTAAGCGTTTTCTCTTAATGTGAATAACTAAATCACTAAGAATAATTTACGTGGAGCAACTTTAGGAGATACAAATACAAAGAGAATGAAGGGTTGTCTGCGTTCGCCGTTAAATAAAGTCAGTTGTATTTCACCTTCCCATTACACCGTGCCTATGTCACTCCAACATGCAATTCTCTCGTCATTTTCTTCGAGTATGTATGTATTGTCAGTCAGTCAGTCATACACAACGTGAAACCTGGTACATACGTGCATCGGTTCAAGTTGTCATATCTCATTAGCACAGAAAGATGAAATTGTCAGGACAATATTATACATATGGTTGAGGATGTAAAGACATTTTTGTACATGACAAGTATACAAGGTGGTTTGCATCGCAATGTTAAGATAAAATTTATTGTTTTTTCTCACTTTTATAGGTGTTAAAATATCAGATTTCTGTCAGGCTATTGCAAACAAAGTGTCGACTGAACGTCCTAAATTAGCTGAAAACCTCCTACGCAACTACGGGTTAGTTTAATGTTTTAAGTTTATGATGTTCCTTCCTCATAGTTTAGAAGTATTTTTTCGTATGGAAGATTATGGTAAACTCTTTAACTCGATTTAAGTAATTAAATCGAAACACTATATACATTGACTTTTGAATCCCTATCGAAGCATGGGCTTATTAGTTGAAGTATTAGATTTTAGAAGCTAAGTTACAGGTTTGATCTCTGCATTTCCTTCGGGTTGAATAGTTGCGTAAATAAATGTAAGTGTTGCTCAAGCCCGTATAAATAAACGTTTACTTGCTAAACATTTGTTATCATGGAGGCTTAGTCAACTTTTGTGCCAAATGTACAATTTATAGCTCAGTGTATCTGTTACCTTTCAGGCATGGTAGACGACGATGTATGCACCCATTCACCACTTCCCTGTTGTTTTTGAATTATCGGTAACCATTGTTGCTTAGAATAATCTATTCACTTGTCGTCTCTCATCATCTCTTCATATCGTCCTTACCAAAGTGGTTGTTTTGTTGCTAAAACCTGTTGTATCTATATAACATAATAGTTTATTTCCACTAACTTTTTAGGATCTACAGAAAAAATTATCGCTTTGTAAGAAGGTATTGTTCCTCTTCTACCCTATCTTTTCCAAAAGTCCACTTGGCTTCTTAATAACTACAATGCCCGGGTTGAGTGAGAAGGATACATAATAACAGTTCCTGTTCTAACTATTTTAATAGTCTTTATTACAGATAGTTACCCAAGTCTGATATAATAGTGATCTCTACTCCCGTATCTAACTGTAAACAGTGAGATGATTTCCTACTCAAAGGTCCGCTTTGACGCGAGAGCTGGAAACTTAACAACTTACCAATCATTTTGATGTTTGACTTGTTTCTTGATCTCAATCGTGTTTTCGATTCGCCACAATGATGATTCAAAAAATACTAGGAAATATAGATTGACGAAATTGCTATTTGTAGGGACATAATTTTTACTGCTAGTTTATTTATTTATTTGAACACATAAATATTGGTACAAGAGAGCGCCAATATATATGTGCCACACAAAACAATGAGAATTCGAAGAGAAAGAAAAAAAGGTAGGGAGCCTGAAAAAAAGAGAACAACAACGAAGTGGTTGGTGTAAGGTAGTGTGGTAATAATAATAGTAATAATGAGGGAACGGAAAGGTACAATCAGAAGAAATCTTTCAGTTAAGGGAGACACAACCACTTTTTATGAAGAAAGTAAAAGAAGGTTACAGCAGGATCGCCACTGGCTTCTATTATGAGCCATATCTGATAACGTCTCTAGCCACTGTGTAGCACCATCTCTTGGGCCCCAACCAGGGAGTCGTGAAGGACCGACAGAGGCTAGTCCTTTGCAGCTTTCTTTCATACCACGACACCATGTCATGCACTGACCACCTCTCCGCTTCTTCCAACCAGTCCCAGAGTCGACAAATAATGCACGACGTGGAATTCTCTGGGACGACATTCGTAGAACATGTCCAAGCCACCGAAGTCGATGTTTCAAGATGGTGACATCGATTGCATTATCATCTCTGTGCTCGAACACACGATGCTGAACCTCTGCATTACTGACATGGTGTTGCCACTGGATGTCAGCAATCCTTCGGAGACAGCGATGATCGAACACAGAGAGTCTTCTAACGTCCTCAACTCGGAGAAGCCAGGTTTCATAAGCATAGAACAAAACTGCTCTCACCGACGCGTTGTAGATCCGACCTTTTACAGCCAGACTAACATCACGAAGGCGCCAAAGATGGCCCAGATTGGCATAAGCCGCTCTGGCTTTCACTATACGTACACTGGTCTCATCACTCACACCCCCACCAGTACTTATGCAGCTACCCAGATACACTAACTTCTCGACTACTTCTATCTGCTCACCATCCAGGGTGAGTACAGGATTACGATCCTTCCAGTCTTGTAGAAGTACTTTGCACTTCGAAGGTGCAAAGCACATACCATATATACGGACACTGATTGCCAACTAATTAAGTGCGGATTGCATGCCTTGGGCATTATCGCACAGTAAGACAATATCATCCGCATACTCAAGGTTGAGAAGTCTTTCTCCAGGCAACAGATCCACACCACCATTACTTACATCCATCAGAGCTGTTTCCAGAATGTCATCGATGTCAAAGTTGAGGAGGAATGGTGAGATTGGGCAACCCTGCCTAACCCCATTGCTTTAATGGAACAATGGAGAGAGGTGGTCGTATGCCCTCACTCTGCCTGAGATGTTTGTATATAGGGCTTTTAGGATGTTAATAAACTTCTCAGGCACACCCTTCTTCAATAGACAATCCCAGAGAACAGTCCTATCCAACGAATCGAAGGCAGCCCTAATGTCAAGAAACACTAACATTGTTGGCCTTTGATAAGTATGACAATGTTTTAACATTTGGCGGAGGGTGAAGATATGATCAATACATCCTCGACCAGAACGAAACCCAGCCTGCTCCTCGCGAGTCAATCTTTCTCGGGTTTTGAACAACCTACGAAGTATGACGGAAGCCAATAGCTTGGACGCAATCGGAAGTAGACTTATCCCCCGATAGTTGTTACAGGAACGGCGTGAACCCTTTTTAAAGATAGGGACAACTATCGACTCATTCCATGACGTTGGTACACTCTCTAGTTCCCAAACCTTTGTAAACAACGTCGTCAATTCCTTAGTCAGAAAGTCACCACCATCTTTAAAAAGAGCCGGAGGTAAGTCATCTGGGCCAGGTGATTTGTAATGTTTCAAGAGCTGGAGTTCCTTGCGGACTTTCGCCTCATTTGGTGGATCAGTCGTCACCGGCCATAGAGGGCAGGACAGTCTGACCGATGTTGCCGGAGCAGCAGGCCAGTTGAACTGCCCTTCGAAAAATTCTGCCCATCGTCCAAGACGTCGATGGATGTTAGTGATTGGCATCCCATCATCCTCGTAGATTGTTTCGCTCACACCAGACTTCTTGCTACCAATAGCTCGGATGATTTGGAAGAGCTTCCGGTAATTACCAGATGCAGCTGCTGCTTCCAACTCATTAGCACGTTTTGACCACCAGGCTTCTCGGTCCTTACGCAAGCTTTGCCCAATTTCGTTACGTAACATCCTTCGTTTGTGGTCAAACTCACGGTCACCCGGAGTAGACCGACGGGCTTCTATGAGTTGTAAGGAACCAGAAGAAACCCTGTGATAATAAGCGGGACGTTTCGTGAACCCACAACTGACTGTACCCGCCATTTTCGTGGCGTCATGCAATTGCAACCAATGCTCATCTACACTTTTCGGTGGAATGGTAGCTAGCCTAGAGGCTAGCTCGGTTCGATACTTACTAGCAACAGAAGTTGCAACCAGCTTGCTAGCATCAATCCGTTGGTGGTGGTCACTTCGTTGTCCGCTGAAAAGTGAGGTAAGATTGACGCAGACCAGGGCATGATCAGAGTCCAGATAGGTACTCCAAAAGGAGCAGCAGTTTTGTACACAACCACGCCAGCGGTAGCTGATGGCGATGTGATCAATCTGAGTCCAGACTTGAGGCGCAGAGGGAGGACGCCAGGTGGCACATCGGCAAAGACTGTGCCAGAAGTTAGTGCTAGCCAGAAACAGGTTGTCGCCTGTGCACAATTGCAGTAGACGGTCCCCGTTATCTGTCCTGCGACCAACGAGTCCCCACCGACCACCTAAACGACTCTCTTCTGTGCCTAGACTCCCGACCTGAGCATTCAAGTCTCCGGCTAGTACTACAATATCTGTCGAACGCACTTTCTGGAGAAGATCACTCAACTGGTGGTAGAATTCATCCTTGGTTGCATCCGGGCTGCAATCTGTCGGGGCATAGGCGGAGATGACGAAAAGACATCGTTTCTCACGCCGATTTCTTCTCAATTTGATGGAACTTTCTAATCTAACAGCACATAACCGACTGTTAATGGGGATTTAATTGACTAGTGCTGCCTCAACTCTAGCGTTTAGTGCGACACCAACGCCAGCAAGACCAGACGAAGATGCCTTATGGTCCCTGGATAAACGCACGTAAAGCAAGCTTTTCGAAGCGACAGATGGAGAGCGAATTTGTAGTACTTCACCAGTCTTGAATACAGGTCTCGGATAGAAAACAATCGTTGATATTGAGATTTTCTAAAGACATAGCCAGCCCTATCTGTTGTCCAACCTGCATAAGTGTGCGGACGTTGAAGGCAGCCAGTTTGAATGGTGCACGTGGTTTCAGAAAAACTGCTTCAGTACTCATATTCATGGTAACATGCAATTTTCAACCGGACTGTGACTCGAGAACGTTTAGATACAGTCGAATTTCCACCAAAGACGAGCCACTGTATAAGTATAGAAGAGGGTGAATAATGTGGTAAATAATAATAATAATAATAATAATAATAATAATAATAATAATAATAATAATAATAATAATAATAATAATTTGAATCATCTGATTGTTATTCGAAGCGAGAAAAATAGTTTCCATAGATATAGAGAGTTCATCATTTGCGTATGGGCTGCGATACTGCCCGGGTGCCCAAACCGAAGCAGGTGGTTTTTTAGGGGGCCACTCCCCGAGCCTTCGACCTGAAGGTCTGATCCACAAGGCAGTGGAGCATCGTAAGAAGATGCAGTCTCATGGTAGCCGGTGACCAATGATTGGTTTATACGCCATTTGTTGCCGCAGGATACTGGAGCCCATGTGCACCATTAATTTGGAATCAGGGTTTTCCAACCCCCCTAGGTATATCCTCTATATCCATCAATATAGTAGAAGCGCCTGACATTCGCTTTTCGTCCTCTCAATTTGGTAAACAACACTCCCGCCAAGAAAAGGCAATGAGTAGGACTTCCCTGGCAGAGGCTATATACGCGTGGCCGTGTGGGAGCGTTTCGAGAGGGAGAGCGGACTCTCCCCACTCTCGGCCATACCAGGGCATTTGGGAGCTAGTGGGGAAATATTATTCTTTAGTATTCTAGTAGAAGTGCAAATGTCAACTAATACGACCTTGTTTGATCAAAATGAATATTTTCCCTCGATTGACTACCGTTAAGTGTATAGCAGTTTTGTATAAATTCATCTACGATTTTCTTTTTATTCAAGTGGTTTACTCGTGAATTACAGCATCAGAAAACCATTGAGAGTATGACAATTTGAACGGCGGCAAATTATTAGGAGATTTGCGAGAATATTGGCAAGTGCATGAAACTTTATAAAATAAATTACAAGTGAATGTAAATTTTCCTAGTTGTTTTCAAATGACGGAGCTCTTCCATCATGCTTTTTTGACTAATGTATCATTGACTTAGTTTCAAATGTTCCTTTGTTCATAGTATTCTATGATGGTCATAGTTTTTGGGTAAACAGATGTTTCAATCAATCTGGTTCTACTTGTTATCATGTTACGATGAATGCTGGCAAAAGTTTTCTAAATAAATCTTTTGATAGCTTAGTGGTACCCACTTGCACTGTGTACAATTTTTTTCTGTAGATTTGTAACGGGGATTGAATTTCGAGACAGTAATTTATTATTATCACCTAAATCTACATCAACATTTCGTCGAGGAATGACACTGAATTTCAATTTAGGCTTCCAGGTTAGTCGTTTAAAGTGAATTCGTACCTAACTATATGTGTGCGCATCCCACCGTAAAATAGATTGTCATGTGTTGTTGTATTTTGTTTGTTAACTTTCTCCAAATTATACTGATTTTACGTTATTACACAATCATATGAAAAGTTAATAATTGATTGCTATGGCGCATGAAACTGATCTCATCACCTAAAGACTGAAAGTTTACTGATAGCTTCTCATTCATCTGGGTCGGTTTCACCAATTAATGTTCATCCGTTTTTACGCGACCATACATTAGTCTTATTGATTTAATGTCTAGAAAGGCAATGAAGGTTTTACCACTAAACAATCCGGCTCAGGGAACATAGAACTTCGATGATCTTACTAATTTATTATCCAGTAATTGTTTTGTCAACTTCAATTACCACTGAAACGATGTCGTAATACAGTCAAGCCAAGATGCTTACGAAATCTAATCTTCCAATCAGTTTCACCTAAAATGGAAGGATATTTTTCAGCACCATCATTATCCTGTTCCTGTTCTTTGTTTTCTGGAAGTAATTTTCGTGGGATTATAATTTATGGATAAACCGATCGTATTTCAGATAGTACATCTTGGATTTAGCGCAAAATCAATTTGTCCTCAAAACGAAATAGTAGTCTGGCATTATGACTAATGTTTTTTCGTTATGGGAACTGTATTTCTAATTACTAACCCGAAATCCTGATCCCTCACATTAATTCATAACCTTATTTACAGTTCAATACGTGACTGGAGTTTTTCAAGGTCGCTTAACTATTCGTCAAATGTCATCTGAACATTGTGGTGTCATCGCAGTTTTTTATCCCATTATTATGATGGATTTTGATAAACCTTTTTGTTTCACGTCGTTTCCCCTTTTGCTCGTGATGTTTTTGGTAAAGCATGGTAAAATTTTTGTGGCCCGCTGATCTGGCTCCGATTTGGGTGAACTTTTGAATATGTTATGAACAAATATTCTATTTAACTCCCTATATAACCTAGGCTAACCCTAACCCCGTTTGTGTGACGGTGGTAATAAGAAGCCAGATACGGGTTGTATTGGAGAAACTTGTTTCAAGCATTCGCTTACCCGGATAGACATTCAGACTAAGAAGCGGAGCGGAGAAGGCGAGTGAACCAACTCGATTTGACCAAGCATGACCCGATAATTACAGTTAGAAAAAAATAAGTTACAGACATGTGATGAGTAGGATAAGCAGTACATACACATACGTTCATATAAAAACAGTCAAAGTTGATAAGCGAATAATTACCAAGGTCAAAATGTGACCTGAAAAAAAGGATAAATCAGTGTGTGTGCAGGCACATAAGTGCATCGGTTTAAGTTGCTATACCCAATTAGCACAACAAGATGAACACCAAATTCATATTAGTTACTTCAATGATAGTGATATTTTATTCTAATATATAGATATTGGTACAATGAGGCACCAAATACATATGCGCCATACTAATCTCATTCGATATTTGTGAGAGCTGTGATAATGCCCGGGTGCCCAAACCGAAGCAGGTGGTTTTTTAGGGGGCCACTCCCCGAGCCTTCGACCTGAAGGTCTGATCCACAAGGCAGTGGAGCATCGTAAGAAGATGCAGTCTCATGGTAGCCGGTGACCAATGATTGGTTTATACGCCATTTGTTGCCGCAGGATACTGGAGCCCATGTGCACCATTAATTTGGAATCAGGGTTTTCCAACCCCCCTAGGTATATCCTCTATATCCATCAATATAGTAGAAGCGCCTGACATTCGCTTTTCGTCCTCTCAATTTGGTAAACAACACTCCCGCCAAGAAAAGGCAATGAGTAGGACTTCCCTGGCAGAGGCTATATACGCGTGGCCGTGTGGGAGCGTTTCGAGAGGGAGAGCGGACTCTCCCCACTCTCGGCCATACCAGGGCATTTGGGGGCAGGTGATATATAGAAGAAGGATTGTGAATAAGAATATGATGCAGGGAGAAAGAATTAGTCTGTAGAAAGGAAGGTATAAAGTAATTTTAATCTCATGGTTTAAGAGAAGACAATGTGTACATACCTACGCGATTGTGATCGATTCTGCGCCATGTCACCCATATTCTCCAACCATTGGTTACGATAGTCGTGCGGACCCCAGCCGAGTAGTCCGCATCTACCAACATGGCTAAGACCAGAAGTTAGTGACTTCAAGGACTGATGCCATGTCTTGGTTTGGCCGTCCCTAACTTTCTCCCAGCCGTCTCCGACACTAGTCAGCATTGTGCGTCGTGGTAAATGATGTTCAGGCATACGTAACACTTCGCCCAACCATCTCAGTCGACGAAGATTGACAACCTCATCGACTGACTTATCATCGTTTCCTAATACCCTGCGTCTAACCTCACTATTACTTACCCAATGATCCCAGCAAATGCAAGCAATGTTTCTAAGACATCAGTGATCAAATACTAGTAACTTACGAGTATCCTCTACCCTTAACAGCCACGTTCCGCAACCGTAAAGTAAAACAGAACGAACTGATGCACAGTATACTCGACCCCTCTTGCCTTCGCCATAAGTGATGTAGGTTGGCAAAAGCCAAACGAGCTTTCTGAATCCGTGCCGAGAATTCGTCAGACACCAACTCATCAGAGTTGGTCAGACTTTCAAGATAAGTGACGTTGTCGACGCGTTCAACTACTTCATGGTTATGCTAATCTATAGATAGTGCTCTGAATATATATCTGCGGTATTGAGTTATCTATTTTCATGTCATTCTTTGAATATATTCAACTGCATAATAATAATTCTCCAAGATCTTGACATCCTAGGTTTTAAACGGTAAATATAGATACGTATGTTTGATGAGTTGTCACTAACCTGTAGGGAAAAAGATTGATGATTCACATATAAAATATACAATCACCCTAACCCATCTGATATCTCAAACATTATGTTCAACAGAGACGTTAAGATTAACCATTTGAAAGTCTTAGAAAACCGTTGCATATACACTAAGCTAGCATAATGTAATTACAGAACAAATCTTTAAAAATAAACTGATAAGTGAGATATGGAGAAAATATCTTGCTACAGAACAAAAGCTCACATGTAGCTCGTTTTTCTTCCCAATAAACATTGATATTCCTCATACACAACTTACCTTCCGTGATTATTGTTACGAGGTGATATTTATCACTAATCTTCATACAAAGTTTATAACTAGTTGATAACTAAGTAAATTACATTACTACTATTTCCGTTAACTACTTTTAATGTATAATTATGGTTTACATCGACAATCAACAATATAGCATATTATGTATTCAATCAAACCTATTATTGGTAATTAATGGGATAATTCCAATCTATTTTTTAATGTTTTGTAATGTTTTACTGTTCGTTTATTTGCTTTTCTTGCTTAGAATTTAATAAACAGTCTTGGTAAATCTCAAGCTGAGAAAAATTATGCACTTTGGTTAGGCGATGTGCTAGCTGTTGGTGTTGGAAATACCGGTGAGAATTTAGTGTATACTTTAACTGCAAAACGTCGACCGAAATCAATCAGCTTGTATATAAAAGATGAAGAGGAAGAGGAAGATGATGAAGGAGAAGAAGACGAAGAAGAAGAGACTAGAAATGTTGGAAAAAGGGATACCAGCAGTAGACATCCACAGAGTGCACGTTCGACAAATGGTACTAGTGCAATTGCTATTTCCAAAAAACAATCTATCCCAAATGGTGATGGCAGTGTTGGTGTGAATGCTGCACAAGAATTATTGGGTCGCGGACATCGTCGTGCTATTATTGAACAGAAAACTCGAGTAAGCAGTAGATAATTTATTTCATGCATGATGGTAATAACTCACTAGAATTGCATATCCGTTAAAAAATCCAAGGTTACATGAAATCTAACATACACTATGCTTATGTAACGACTAATTATCTTTGATCTGTTTTTTTAGTATCCTTATTATTAATGTTAGACAAGAGATGAACCATACTCTCATTCATTGTCGGAAACGGTGTTCTGACCTGTCCATTTTAAATAATAATCATAGTGATATTGATAACGGTAGTACTAATTAATAAACAGTTTATATATATATATATATACGGTAGATACTGCTCAATCATCATTGTGATGTTTGTGTTATTTATTTATTTAAATACAAACATTGGCACGAAAGGGCACCAAAATATATATGAAACGCACAAAAAAGTAATTATCATAAAAGTTGCCCGGGTGCCCAAACCAAAGGTATTCTTCTTAGGTGGTCATTCCCTGAGCCTTTGACTTAGATATCTAGTCGACAAGGCAGTAGAGCAAAGTTAGCAGATGCGGTCCCATAATAGCCGGTGACTAAGAATAGTTTTGTGCGCAATTTGTTCCTTCAGGATCCTTGAGCACACGTTCACCGTTGATTTAGAATCAAGACTTTCCGACTCCCCTAGGTAGACTTCCTGTATACGCAAACCTGATTTAAGCGCCGTACATTCGCTTTTCGTCCTCAATTTCGTAAACAACACTCTCGCCACGAGAAGGTAATAAGTAGGATTTTCCTTAGCAGTGGTTATATACTCGTAGTCATGTGTGATTTTTTTTGGGGAGGGGAGAGCGAATTCTCCCCACCCTTGGCCGTACTAGGATACTTAGGAACTGGTGTTTGTGACGTTTTTCTTATATATCATCGATATCTACTTCAGTTTTAGGAAACCGGGTAGTATTACTAGATTTCATTCACATTCAAAATGTGGCTTGAAGTCAAGTACATTGATCTATACCACATGGTAAGCGAGTTGAATAAGTAAACGACGATTGTAAAATATTCCTATAGTGTTGTTTCATTCGTTTAAAATTGTTGTTTACATGTGACTGATTATAATTTGATATGTGATACTGCCGATTTTGCATATATTTTGTAATCGGATAACTACCTATCTGCTTTCTTCGAGACTAAATAATTTAAAAACGAATAATTTGTCATGCCCAATTTTATAATACAGTAATATATATATTTAATGGCTAGATCTGTTTACAAATACAGATGTGGATGGTAATCTGTGAATCAGTCTCTGGTTTTGAGTCTCGATCTATCTATGGAAATTTTTCTAGCCGTATGAAAAGATTATTGTTTAATTCGTCACAGATTTTGATCCCAGATAGAAATATATTTAAAAATACCGAATAATATACGTCTTTTTTGTGTTGATGTGGGACTACTCAACTGTTCTCGCCGACAATCGGGACATAAGTGTAAACGAGGACCTTCAACGTTTGCACTAAGCGCGTAGTATTTAAATTTGTAGTCCTCCTCAAACTTCCTTTCAATCTATTCGTAATATTGAGCAAAAATCATTTGTTATTACGGATGGATAACTTATTCATTCCCTTTCCAACCATATAAACTGAATAACCATTTTGTTCCCTTCCCCCTCCACTTTTTTTTCTAAGAATGAACAAACTGCTGAAGAGAAACGTATGAGCCGCCGGCGAGATCTATTCCAAGAACTTGTAACAAGTTCTACAAATCGTTTAACAGGATTAAAAACTGATACTAATTTAGACACTAAAATGAAATCTAGCATTGCTTATAAGGGGGCTGGTCAAATGCCTAAGGAAGATGATGTTCGTAAACTTCGACTTTTTGTTGGTAAGTTTCGTTCCATTACTCCATTCATATCATCGGCGTATTACTGTAACCTAGTGTTCATGTAAATGATCACGACTTTATTAACTAAAAAGTGCTTTAATTGCTTAAAATAACAATGTACGGTAGGCTGAGATTGCTGCTGCTACCTTGACGTGGTAGTCGAGCTTGCCTATCGTAATGAACTAATTGAGCTATACTGGCTGGAACAATCGTTCCGCAAGGTCTTACCATGCCAGACAGGTCGGTTAAAAAGCGGTAAGACTAAAAGCAGCAAACTCAAGGTTGGAGGGTGAAGTCGTACTACTGATTGTACAGAGGTGTGACGGCAGTAAGGTGTTTCATTCAGACAACCAGCATAACAGTGGTGCTGCCTTCTCACGAGGAAGAGTGGAGTTAGAACAAGTTGACCCTATAAATGCACATCTCACTTTATCCCACGGATTTCCCTCTCCGGCGTTAAGGTCCCAACAAGTACGGAGCTAATACGAAAACTACTCTCAAAAAGGCTGTGTGTGACCGGCCTCATGCATTTGTCACTTGCGCACTGCGGTCACGCTCTTAGATTACTAGGACCACCTCTAACCCAATTTTCTTTTCAGATACCTCCAGAGGAACCGTCCCACGGTGTGGGCAACCAAAAAGCGGTAACTGCCCTCATACCTCTAACAGCGCTCAAGATCACTGCATTCATAATCACTCTCCCTCTTCAATTCCTATTATTCCCCCTACGTCGACTTTCAACTCGGAACTTCCTCTTTCGGCTTCCTCCTCAAGTGTCACCATGGCCAACGACTCTAGTGCGCGAAACACTGTCCCAGGTCTACTGAAACCTCGCTCCAAACTATACATTGGAGCCTTCGACGTACTCAGCCTATGTCAAGTCGGCCAGCAAACCTCCTTGGCTAAAACTCTACAATCTCGTACCATTGACGTATGCTGTCTCTGAAACAGGCATACAGGATCCTAGTGTGCTCATTCACTTAACCTCACCTCGCGAAAACGGAGAGCCGACAAGGTACTCCCTCCGTGTAACTGGCGAACCGATGGCTCGTTCTCGTAGACCGGCAGGTGTAGGCATAGCACTAAGTACGAGGGCAGAAAATGCACCATTCGGATGGATCCTTGTTTACAGTCGCCTATGTGCTGTTCGGTCAAACGGCTGAGTAAGAACTTGGAAGAACAGGAACACAATCGTTGCCTTTGCATCTTTTTTGTCTACGCTGCCATTGTTTACAACCCGGATGAATTGAACGATAAAGTTTACAGAAATCTTTCTGAACTTCATAAAGCTAAACGCTCAGACATAGTACTTGCAGCAGGTGATTTTAATGCCCATGTAGGTAGCTTGAACCAAACAGAAAGACATGTATGCGGGTATTTCAGTATTCCGGCTCAGCAAACAGATAATGGTGATCGTCTGGGGCAACTGTGCTCAATCGATCACTTATTTTTAGCAAACAGTAATTTTAAGCATAAGGAGAAACATCGTCTAACACGACGACCCTCTGCACCAAACCAACGATGGACTCAAATAAACCGTATTGGCGTCATCCATTGTTGGAAACGCTCAATAGGAGACTGTCACTCGTTCTGGAATACCTGTTTGGACTCCGATCATGCTCTAATACGAGCACGCGTTTGCTAGCACCTCTCTGCACTCAGGAAAACCACAAATGTTATTTTATGTTTATGGCGTTTTGTGGTCTGTTCGGCTTGTATATAAACCTAGTGTATTTGAAATATATGATTCATAACGCTGAGGCTGAGATTCGTGTTCTGGACTTAACAGGTAGGGAAAAAGACCAGTCGGGACTTCAGGCTGTCCGTTTAGATGTATGCGTCATTTGTTGTTTGAATAAATCCGCGCATCGAAATTTAGCAGTCGTATTCGCAGTAATCGTATAAGCTAAGGACATAGCAATGCACACGCTACCGCTATTAAAAGAATAAACGCTATCTTTGTTGTCTATTCTTCTGCTATGTTGGTCATAGACTTATTGGAGATATTCGAACAGCTGTGGAAGCAACAGTGACATCTGTTAGTGATTTAAACTAAAAGGTTACAAAAAACCAATGGATTTCTACCAAGTCTATTGTACTGATAAATTCTCGTAAACTCATCCCATCAGGCTCTGAACGCGATGAAGAGCGAAAACATATTAGTTCTGGTTTAACCAGAAGTCTATGGAACGTCCGTGAGCAGTGGTGGGCAACGAATGCAAAATAGATGGAAAAGGCAGTGGCTGTAGGTAACACAAGACAGCTTTGCAGACTAATATTAGAAATCGAAATTAAGAAGTCAAGTGTAAGTGAGACGATCTCGGAAAAAGGTGACACTCTTATTTGCTCTCAGTCCAGATATTTAGAACAACGGGCGAAACACTTTAGAGAACAGTTTAGCTGGCCTGCAGCTACTCTACAACTACCTACCATTCTCAGACAGCCTGGACGGAACATTGAAGTATTTCCCCCGACTCTAATTAAAGTCCAAAAAGCTATAGATAATCTGAAACGAGGAAGAGCAGCTGGTCCAGATGGATTGACTCCAGAGGTCTTTAAGTATGGTGGTCCAGTTTTAGCGATTAGGTTGACTAGTATTTTATCTGTAATCTGGGAGTTGGACGTAATCCTATCTGACTGGTCTCAACCACTGTCTCAATATATATGAAGTGGTCAAAATCATTCTGTGACAACCATAGAGGGATTAGTTTGACTAAGATAGCATCTAAAATACTGGTCTCAATAATTATCGGACGCCTAACAAAGAATCGTGAACTGCAAACACGAGGAAACTAGACTGCCTTCAGACCTGGTCGTGGCTGCGTCGACCACATATTCACCATTCGTCAGGTCCTAGAACACAGACATGCTTATCGGCGTCCGACATTGGTGGTCTTTCTTGACTTAAAAGCAGCATTCGACTCGATTGACTGAGAGATTTTTTGGCAGTGTCTGTCATTGAAAAACGTACCTGAGAAGTACATAAACCTTGTGAAGGCTCTTTATTCGAACACTACTAGTCGTGTCAGAGCTTATGGCGAACTGTCATCTGATTTTGCAGCCTCAGGTGGTGTCTAAAAGGCCTGTCCACTATCTCCATTTCTGTTCAGTTTTATCATAGACCTATTGATGGAAATAACATTCTCGTCGACTGAATTCTCGGGTATTGATCTCCTTCCAGGAGATCCACTTATCGACTTAGAATACGCTGATGACATATGTTTGTTTGGTGACGACGCTGTTATAATATAGAGTCTTTTGGTAGCACTGAGCAACAATGTCAGGATGCTTGGGATGCGTTTCTCCTCCTCTAAATGCAAGTTGTTGCTGCAGGACTGGCCTGCATCAACACCTGAACTAATAATACGGAATGAAGTAGTTGAACGCGTCGACAACTTCACTTATCTTGAAAGTCTGACCAACTCTGATGAGTTGGTGTCTGACGAATTCTCGGCACGGATTCAGAAAGCTCGTTTGGCTTTTGCCAACCTACATCACTTATGGCGAAGGCAAGAGGGGTCGAGTATACTGTGCATCAGTTCGTTCTGTTTTACTTTACGGTTGCGGAACGTGGCTGTTAAGGGTAGAGGATACTCGTAAGTTACTAGTATTTGATCACTGATGTCTTAGAAACATTGCTTGCATTTGCTGGGATCATTGGGTAAGTAATAGTGAGGTTAGACGCAGGGTATTAGGAAACGATGATAAGTCAGTCGATGAGGTTGTCAATCTTCGTCGACTGAGATGGTTGGGCGAAGTGTTACGTATGCCTGAACATCATTTACCACGACGCACAATGCTGACTAGTGTCGGAGACGGCTGGGAGAAAGTTAGGGACGGCCAAACCAAGACATGGCATCAGTCCTTGAAGTCACTAACTTCTGGTCTTAGCCATGTTGGTAGATGCGGACTACTCGGCTGGGGTCCGCACGACTATCGTAACCAATGGTTGGAGAATATGGGTGACATGGCGCAGAATCGATCACAATCGCGTAGGTATGTACACATTGTCTTCTCTTAAACCGTGAGATTAAAATTACATTTTTAAATAAGCTTGGGATTTTGTCGCATAATGAATAAAATTCACTTTATCTAGTTCAAACCCATCACAAGTTTTAGTAGTCGATTAATATAAGCAAACAAAGTATGTAGCTAAATAATGCTGTAAGGTGATCAGTATAATATAATCAAGAATTATAAGTAGTATAATAATTTATGTAGAATTGAAAATGATTCACTTTCATCGTGATTTTTTTCACGCCATCTGCTTTTCGCCCCTTATTTTATAGATAAGAAGTATGAAACTGTTATTTTGCCAATTTTCGGACTTCCAACACCATTTCACATCAGTACAATAAAGAATGTCTCTACGTCTATTGAAGCTGATTATACGTATTTACGTATAAATTTCCATCATCCTGGTGCATTAGTTGGCGCAAAAGATACAGCCAGTTTCCAAGTTAGTTTATTGATTTTATAGATTGAAAATTTTTCTACCTTTCTACTATCAACTGGATCCATACAAAGGGGAACCCTTGAGCAAGACTAGTTTGCCAACTTTAAGTCATCCGCACTAATGATATTAGTTTATTTAAAGAAATTATTGAACGTAGTGAGTGAAATGGTTCAACGCATTAGATAATAAGATACATAACGAATAAATACGCCAAGTAACCAAGATTTTCTATGAACTTTTTGAAGAGTAAAGTTTCTTCTCTCAGTTTTTGTCCCATCTAGATAGTTACACTTATTTACTTAGTCTTGTTTTTTATTGTCTAGTACAGGAAAAGTATTTGTCAATCATTCGAAATATGATTCAGAAGTTCCAAACATGGCATCAGTCCATGAAGATACTGACTTGAACTGAACCATGTAGGTAGGTGCAGACTATTATCTGGTTGGGGTTCTCATGATTATGGTAAACAACAGTCAAAAAATGTGTGTAGCATTGATCGGAATCGTTTTCATTGGCGAATGCGCGCTCATTCTTTGTTTCCGCTTAGAAACTGAGCTTCTTAATTTATAAAACTATTTCACAAATACATATTTTCTCGAATTGTTTCGTGAGCACCTAATCTTATCAATTACTACTGATATTTCTACTGCCTCTACTACTCTGGGATTCACCTTGACAATTTCATCTCGCTGTGTTAATGGGTTTGACACGCATGTACCAGATTTCAGGTTGCATATAACTGACTGAGTTTCAGCATTGTTATTGTCAACTAGCTGATCTTAATTCCGAAAATTCCCCAACCTATTTAGTGTTAGAAGAGTCAGAGGGCTTTTTACCGACCTTTCTGTTTGTACAATTTTTGCGTTACTTACATTCAAATTTATCCCTGTATAACTTAATTTTTTTTAGAGTCCTGAATCAACTTATGTGAAAGAGATGACTTATCGTGCTTCAAATGTACGTCGACATGGTGAAGTTAGTATACCATCGACCAATTTAAATAATGCTTATCGTATAATTAAAGAAGTATTAAAGCGTTTTCGATCCCGTGAAGCAGAGGAGAAAGAACGTGCAAATCTCGTAGAACAAGATGACTTAGTCGTAGATCATGCTAAAGGTTCTTTTCGTTTGAAGGATTTATACATTCGTCCTAATGTTGCATCGAAAAGAATAACAGGTATTTGTTACTATATATGTATGACTGTATGTATGTATCCATTTATGCGTTTGAGCATTTTCCCAAACTCTTAAAAGTTATACGCCTTTATGAATGTATTCTCTTAACTTGTTTGTGGTATTGTGGGTATTTTAAACTATCTATATAACCCTTATTACATGGTTTACTAAGTTGCAATTTCTATATGCTATGTTGGTACGTGTAGACTACCTGGTTGGGGACCGCGAGATGATAACAACCGATGGTTAGAGACCCTGAATGACATGGCTCAAAATCGTTTGCAATGGCGCAGGTGCATCCACTCTTTGTGTTGTCCCTAATTCTAATTTCCCGAATCCACCTTGTCTCTTTTACTCTTCCAAAATTTATTTCACTAGATTATTACTTACTTACTTACGCCTGTTACTCCCAATGGAGCATAGGCCGCCGACCAGCATTCTCCAACCCACTCTGTCCTGGGCCTTCTTTTCTAGTTCCATCCAATTCTTATTCATTTTTTTCATGTCTATTTCCATTTCTCGGCGTAATGTGTTCTTTGGTCCTCCTCTTTTCCTTTGGCCTTGAGGATTCCATGTGAGAGCTTGTCTTGTGACGCAGTCAGGTGCTTTTCTCAATGTGTGTCCTATCCACTTCCAGCACTTCTTCCTGATTTCTTCCTCCGCTGGGATCTGGTTTGTTCTGTCCCACAGTACGTTGTTGCTAATAGTGTCCGGCCAATGGATCTGAAGTATTTTGCGTAGACAACTGTTAATAAACACCTGTATTTTCTGGATGATGGATTTCGTAGTTCTCCAGGTTTCTGCCCCATACAGTAGAACTGTCTTGACATTTGTATTGAAAATCCTGACCTTGGTGTTGGTTGACAGTTGCTTTGAGTTCCAGATGTTCCTCAGTTGTAAATATGCTGCTCTTGCTTTGCCGATCTGCGCCTTCACATCTGCATCAGATCCACCCTGTTCATCAATGATGCTGCCCAAATATGTAAAGGTTTTCACATCTTCCAAATCTTCTCCGTCAATTGTCATTGGATTGGTGCATTCTGTGTTGTATCGGAGAATCCTGCTTTTCCCTTTGTGTATATTGAGACCTATCGCTCCTGAGGCTGCTGCCACACTGTTCGTCTTCTCCTGCAACTGTTGTTGCGTTTGGGATAGAAGAGCCAGATCATCAGCGAAGTCTAGATCATCCAACTGCATCCTAGATGTCCATTGTATCCCGCGTTTCCCTTCAGATGTTGACGTCTTCATGATCCAGTCGATCACCAGGAGAAAGAGAAAGGGTGAGAGTAAACAACCTTGCCTAACACCGGTCTTCACTTTGAACGACTTTGTCAACTGTCCTCCATGCACAATTTTGCAGTGTAATCCATCATATGAGTTCTGTATGATATTGACTATCTTCTGAGGCACGCCATAGTGTCGAAGAAGTTCCCATAGTGTTGTTCTGTTAAATGCTTTTTCGTAGTCAATGAAGTCTATGTAGAGTGATGAATTCCATTCAATTGATTGTTCCACAATGGTCCGTAGAGTTGCGGTTTGGTCTGTACACGATCTATCCTTACGGAATCCTGCCTGTTGGTCACGAAGTTGGGCGTCTACGCAGTCCTTCATTCTGTTTAACAATACCATGTTGAAGACTTTTCCCGGTATTGAGAGAAGAGTGATGCCTCTGTAGTTATCACACTTGCTGAGATCGCCTTTCTTCGGTATTTTGATCAGGTGTCCTTCTTTCCAGTCTTTTGGTACTTGTTCCTCATCCCAAATCTTATTGAAGAGAATGTGGAGTATCCTTGCAGTTGCCGCTACGTCTGCTTTTAGTGCCTCTGCTGGGATGTCGTCTGGTCCTGCTGCTTTGCCGCTCTTGATTTGTCTGATGGCCATGCTGATTTCTTCAATTGTTGGTGGGCCAACATTGATTGGGAGGTCCGTGGGTACTACTTCGATGTTGGGTGGGTTCAGTGGAGCTTGTCACTAGATTATACTCTTTAAATAACATCTCCAAACCCTAATCTTCCCGATTACTGCTTATACTCTTACCGCCTCTACCACTACGGGATTTGAGTCGACAACTGCATCTCTGTGCTAAGGTGGTGTGGGAACTCGAACTGATGTACGTACGTACGAAGTTCTACGTTGTTACTGACTGACTGAATTTCTATATGGTATTTGTTAATCGGAAAGGATAATTGATATTAAATACCAATCCAAGTAAATTACCGTAAGTAGTTTTAAATGATGTGTAGTGCTCTACTGTCAAAAGAATCGACAAAATAATCAACATGGAATATTACATGTTATTATCATTATCATCATTTATATGCCATCCATACTTACTTATTTTTCATTAGGTACGCTAGAGGCTCATTCAAACGGTTTCCGTTTCACTTCAGTTCGAGGTGATCAAGTTGATATTCTGTATAACAATATTAAGCATGCATTCTATCAGCCATGTGATGGAGAAATGATTATTTTACTGCATTTCCATTTAAAGGTATGTCAACAGGTACTTTTACAATTGTTTGAAGTCGTAATTCCAAATGATCTGTTTGTAGTAACCAGTTTCGTGCTTTTAATTTATGAAGATTTTTCTCTGGACCTTCTTAAGCCATATTTGTTTATCAAGTAATACTCTTAAAGCTGTTACTCCCACATGTCACCTATCTCTAACTGTTTACTTCTTACTGCATTTATGATAATAGGTGTAGCGTTGTGAGTAATTTTTCACCGGTAATTCTGGTTATACCTTTCAATGGATTTCTGATTAATTTTTACTTTGAAAGTTGATTCGCTTCACTCTCCAACTGGTTGCTGACAATAATTTCATCTTTATATATTTTTTAATGAAAATGGATCTAGCTCAGCATCATAGTTTTATTGTTCACACATAAACTAATCATTCATAACTGTTATATTTGTAGGTCAAGTGCTTACCATTCATAGCCACCTGGTGATAATTTCCAGGTTTTTATTCACTGAATAAGAGCGTTGTCTTAGTCTTCAAAAGCATTTTACATTCAACCAGTGGGATAGACTTTCGAATTCGACTCTGATAGTCGGGTAATATCATCAGTCGTAAAATATTATACTTAAGAGCAAAGAGTACATTCCTATACTACTACTACTACTACTACTTGGTAATCAAATTGTTTAACACTATTCTAAACACCTCTGCTATGTAACTACTTATTTTTAATATGAAATAAGTCGATTTTTCTTTCTTTTCCCTTAAATTTAGAATGCAATTATGTATGGCAAGAAGAAGCATACCGATATCCAGTTCTATACAGAAGTTGGTGAATTAACCACAGATTTAAGTAAAACACATTCTCGTATGCAAGATCGTGATGATTTAGAGGCGGAACAAAGAGAACGTGAAATGAGAGAACAAATTAAAATGGCATTTCGTTCATTTGTGGATAGATCTGAGAACTTAGCACGTCGATATGATCTAGAATTCGAAACACCATTCCGTGAACTTGGATTTCATGGATGTCCTTTCCGGTAAATTGTTGGGTTGCATATAAGATCTTAGTGTTTACAAAATATGCTATATTCTTACTGCGGATGGGTTTGTTTCTTTATGTTATTAATTTGTTCTTCGTGTCCCCGTTTCACCTTATCACTTTGCTTAGATAGAGCTAGCCATCGAACACATCGTCTTCCGCCTGACCGAGGCTGCTACCTTGACGCGGTGGTCGGGCTTGCCTATCGTTATGACCCAACCGAGCTATATTGGCTGGAACATATGTTCCTGTAGGTTCTACCATGCCAGGCAGGTCGATTGGTGAACGGTAAGACTAAAAGCAGCAACTCAAGGTCTGAGGGCGAAGTCGTACTGCTGACTATAGAGGGGTGTGACAGTAGTGAGGTGTTTCCTTCGGACAACCAGCATAACAGCGATGCTGCCTTCCCACAAGGAGGGGTGGGATTAGAAAAGGTCGACCCTAAAAATGTCACACCTCACCTTACCTCACGGATTTCCGTCTCCGGCGGTAAGGCCGTTTGAAGAACGGAGCTAACACACCAAAAACCTTCCACAAAAAGGCCGTGTGCGACCGGCCTCAAGCAGTTGTCCCTTGGGCTTTGCGGTCACGCTCCCAGGTCGTCAAGACCAACACTAATCCAATTTCCTTTTCAGGTTCCTCAAGAAATACCCTCCCACGGTGTGGGCAGCCGGGAAGTGACATCAGCCCTCATACCCGTAACAGCACACGAGACCAAGTTGGTCACATTCAAATCCTTCCTACACCTCCTAATACCTCTCTTATCTCCATGACTAACCCTTCTCACGTCTCTTTATCACCTCGCACTGCTAGGGCAAACGATTCGAGTACGTGGAACGCTATTCCTGGTCTCCTGAAACCACACTCTAAACTACACGTAGGAGCTTTCAACGTACGAACACTTTGCCAAATAGGACAGCAGGCTTCCTTAGCTAGAACTTTAGAATCTCGCGCCATCGATGTGTGCTGCGTCTCCGAAACGCGCATACAGGATTCGAGTAGCGTCATTCATTTGACCTCACCATGCCAAAATAAAGAACCGACTCGATTTACGCTTCGTGTATCTGGAAGCCGTGATTCTGCTTCCCGTGGCCTCGCCGGCGTAGGTATATCATTGAGTCCTAGGGCAGAACTAGCTTTCTTAGACTGGATCCCAGTAGACAGTCGTTTGTGCGCTGTCCGACTAAACGGAACAGTAAGAATCCGGAAAGATAGAAACACTCGTCGTTGCCTCTTCGTCGTCTCTGCTTATTCTCCCACTGACTGCAGCTCAGATGATGTAAAAGATGAGTTTTACAGAAAGCTTTCCGACCTTCTCCGGAAAGCTAGGCGCTCTGATGTAGTAATAGTGGCCGGTGACTTTAATGCTCAAGTAGGTAAACTAAGCGATAGGGAAAGACACCTAGGTGGATGTTATAGTGTCGTGGCTCAAAGAACAGATAATGGCGACCGTCTGTTGCAGCTATGCTCAGATAACCGCCTGTTCCTTTCAAATACTAATTTTAAGCATAAGGAAAAACATCTTTTAACATGGCGACCTCCTAATTCGCCCCAACGTTGGACCCAAATAGATCACATCGCTATCAGCCACCGATGGAGAGGCTCGATAGAAGACTGTCGCTCATTCTGGAGCACATGCTTAGATTCAGATCATGCTCTAGTGCGAGTGCGTATTTGCTTGCGTCTTACTGGACGTAGGAAAGACGCTGCAAGGAAACCTCTTAGGGGCCTACTGAATGATAGTCAAGCTAAGAGTATATTTGGGGAACAACTAGGAAAACAGTTAGGCAGCCCTGTATGTGATGCCCACCCTGAGGCAGCATGGAATGATATCCGAAAAGCTGTGGAAACAGCAGTGATATCCGCTAGTATGGTAACCCGTAAGGTTAGGGAGCAACACTGGATCTCAGCAGCATCTATCGCACTTTTAGATGCTCGGAAACTCATTCCACCTGGCTCTGAACATAATGAAGAGCGGAGTCAGCTTAAGCACACGCTGAGAAGAAGTCTACGCAATGATCGCGAACAGTGGTGGGTAGCGAAAGCAAGAGAGATGGAAAAGGCAGCGGCAATAGGTAATAGCAGACAATTGTTCAGACTCGTTAAGGAAACCGGAATTAGGAACCCGACCGTTAGCGAAACAATCTCAGAGAAAGATGGACATATTATTCATTCTCAATCCAGGAGATTGGATCGATGGGCAGAACACTTTAGGGATCAGTTCAACTGGCCTTCAGCCACACTTCGGTTTGCCACGATCTCTAGTCAACCTGAATGGCAAGTTAATGTAGGTCCTCCGTCCCTTTACGAAGTTGAAAAAGCCATAGGAAATCTGAAGCGAGGGAGAGCAGCAGGCCTTGACATGTTTACTCTTAAGATTTTTAAGGATGGTGGTTCAGTATTAGCAGTGAGATTAACTGAGGTCTTAGGTAAAATTTGGGAACTGGACGTAATCCCATCTGACTGGTCCCAATCACTGATTGTGCCAGTTTTTAAGAAAGGTCAAAAGTCCTCTTGTGACAATCACCGAGGAATCAGTTTGACAAATATAGTGTCTAAAATATTAGCTTCAATAATACTTCGACGCCTAATCAAAGCTCGTGAAGAGCAGATTAGAGAAAATCAGGCCGGTTTTCGACCTGGATGTGGTTGTATAGATCAGATATTCACACTACGTCAGGTTCTAGAACACAGACATACGTTCAGACGCCCCACAATGGTAGTATTTCTCGACCTTAAGGCGGCATTTGACTCTGTTGATCGTAAGGTTCTATGGCAGTGTTTGTCACTGAATGGAGTACCAAAGAAGTACATTAACCTTATAAAGGCTCTCTACTCGAACACAACTGGTAGAGTGAGAGCTTATGGCGAACTGTCATCAGAATTGATTACCTCAAGTGGTGTTCGTCAGGGTTGTCCACTCTCTCCATTCTTGTTCAACTTTGTCGTCGACATGCTTTTAGAAATAACACTTTTCTCATCTAAATTTACAGGGGTTGAACTTGTACCGGGAGGTTCACTTGTTGACTTAGAATATGCTGATGACATAGTTTTATTTGTTGAAGACGCTGACAAAATGCAGAGTCTTCTGACCACTCCAAGCAACAATGCAAGCATGTTCGGGATGCCATTCTCCCCCTCGAAATGTAAAATGTTGCTTCAGGATTGGGTTACATCGACACCCGAACTAGTGATAGGGAGTGAAGTAATTGAGTGTGTCGACCGCTTCACTTATCTTGGAAGTCTCATCAGCCCTTGTGGTCTGGTGTGTGACGAAATCTCAGCACGGATACAGAAGGCTCGACTAGCTTTTGCCAACTTGCGTCATTTATGGCGTAGGCGAGATATCCGTCTATCAACCAAAGGACGTGTTTACTGCGCAGCAGTTCGTTCCGTCCTACTTTATGGCAGTGAAACATGGCCGGTAAGAGTAGAGGATATCCGTAGGCTACTAGTATTTGATCATAAGTGTCTTCGAAATATTGCTCGTATATCATGGGACCATCAAGTAAGTAACGCAGTTGTAAGGAAACGGGTACTAGGTAAGGATGGCAAATAGATTGATGAAGTGGTGAAACTTCATCAGTTGAGATGGCTGGGACATGTGTTACGTATGTCCAACCACCGACTGCCTCGACGTGCGATGTTCAGTGGTATGGGAGTAGGTTGGAAGGAAGCTAGGGGCGGCCAGATCAAAACATGGCACAAGTCCATGAAGTCACTGACAAGTGGACTGAGCCATGTTGGTAGGTGTAGACTACCTGGTTGGGGACCGCGAGATGATAACAACCGATGGTTAGAGACCCTGAATGACATGGCTCAAAATCGTTTGCAATGGCGCAGGTGCATCCACTCTTTGTGTTCTCCCAAATTCTAATCTTCTGAATTCTTCATGTCCCTTTTTTCCTCTTTCCAAATTTATTTCACTGTATTATACTCTTTAAATAACATCTCCAAACCCTAATCTTCCCGATTACTGCTTATACTCTTGCCACCTCTACCACTACGTGTTTTGAATCGACAACTGCATCTCTGTGCTAAGGTGGTGTGGCAACTCGAACTGATGTACGTACGTACGAAGTTCTACGTTGTTACTGACTGACAGACATCGTCTTCCGATATAAAGAACTGAAATTTCATGGGAAATTTACTTTCCTTATCGAATTGGAATTTGTTTGATAAGTGATCTATCGGAATCATACATAATCGTATTGTTTAGCGTAATACAAATGTTTCAACTATTTAGTCTGAAAGCTTATTTGTCATTTAAATTCAATTCCCGAGAAATTGCGAATGTTTAATTTGTCGTATCTTTCATCAGATATTTAATACAACTTCGTAGATGTTTATACACTGATGTTTAAGCTACACTTTTTACATGTATGCTGATGATACCTTGTGAAGAGAAAATAGCTTTCTAATACCTAACCTGACAGTTGAAATAGTGTATTTGGTATATGGCCAGCAGTAGAATCCATCCTATTTGGGACTTTTTATTTGGATGCACTCGTATGCATAGTATTTGCTCTCCATCTAAATCCAAGGTACTCCGGCTAAAATTTTCAAAAATAACAGTAAAATAACTTTTCATGAATAATTGTACTATATATATGCCATAAGATTACCATAACTGGTGAGTGGAATTACTGGGTGACTAAGAATCGGTTACTATGGTACCGATACATTCATCTTTTGTTTTTCCCTTCACAACAACACCTTTTGAGTTTTGAAATTCTCCTGTCGTTTAGCTCTCAAATTCATGGCCTTAAAACCATAGTCTCTATGTCAAATCTCTTTAATATCACTGATGCTATTAATACACTGGGATTTGTCTTCATAATTTTATCTCTGTGCCGATATGGTGTGTACATATTTTGCAGATTGTACGTTGTGTCCGAAGGTGTCTATCCATAGTTAACATTTTTAAAATCGTACGACGTTTACACTCCATCAGAAGAAGTGTTCAAATAAGATCATTCTGATAATCCTGAAAATTCAATCGTTCCTTTTATTATTACTGTTGTTTTTACAGATCAACTGTACTACTGATGCCTACAAGTAGTGCATTAATAAGTGTTGTTGAATTACCTGCATTCGTGGTTACATTGGATGAAGTTGAATTTGTCATGTTGGAACGTGTCAGCTTATCGATTCGTACATTCGATATGGTGTTTGTTTTTAAAGATTATCATAAAAAACCAGCAATGATTAATTCAATACCGAGTACTGCTTTGGAACTGGTTAAAGAATGGTTGTTGTAAGTCGTATTTTTTGTGTTTTTTTATTGGTTTGTGTACTGCGAATTGTTAAACCTTGATAGAACGATTATATCTTATGGAGTTTCTAGTTGACCTACGGTAAATTCTTTTTACAAACGATTGAGGATTCCCTCAAATACGACTTGACTAATGGCAACTTAAATAAACTCGACATCTGTCACTTAAAAAAACTTCAACGTTAGTAATCCACACTAACAGAGAATAGGAGACTCCCAGAGCAACTTTATTTTTTGTACGGAAGTTAAAAATTGACAAGGAACAACTCTGTTTATGTAGAAACTTGCACCGATCTTAAAGGACATGACAAAGTAAACTAAAGGCAATAGCAACCTATCAGATAACAGCAAACGTTTTTGCGGGAATATAAATTAGGGAAGTAGTATTGAGATTACCCTTCTAAGAAAGAACTAACATGTAATAGCAAAAAGTAAATAACTTGAGTTCTCCTTAGCATTCATTAAACTGTATAGTTGTATACAATCTAAACATCACATTCCCTCCTATTTGGGGCTCGCCAGCTGGATATATTTGCATCTCAATTTTGATGTTCACACTAGTACTCGAATTCGATCTCCCTCTCTTGAGACACGCTCTACCCACCGATATACTAACTTGTTCAACAGGTAAGATATTTATACCCTACTTATAGGCACAATTCATCTGTTCCATAAAACATGTAATAAAATGGTCATATCGAAGCAAATTACACAGTACGAATATGCCAATAAAACTTATCAGAATTCAGTCCTCATATCAGCAATGGGCTGACGTAAACTGTTACTAATAACGTCTATTTTTGTAAAACTCGGTTTGTCATTTATGTAAGCATTATGAGAAATGTTGACACTTCAATCTAACCGCTAGGGTGGTGTAGTACAGCTCGGTCAAGCAAATCCGTATTGTAAATGACGTGTATTTGCTGTGCTGTGCAATGTCTGATTCTGGTACTGATATACAAGCTCCGTTTACGTGAGCTCGAACCAGTCACTTGAGTGAGAAAACTTATATTTGCTAACCCATGTCGAGAAATATCTGTACACTCATATATATCCCGTAGAAATTTAAGCCACATGTTCAAATAATGGCGTGTCTCGTTCCTTATAAAAGAGCTCAAATGTTGACTAATCACATGCGCTCATGTTTAGGATGTCTAACTATCCCACTTCTGTTTCCCTAGAATTAAAAGATAATCCAGTAACTCGTAACAGTATTGTAACTTATTTACTCGAGATTTGAATGCAAACAACACTACTCGGTTGATCAAACCAAAGTAAAACGTAGTTGGAACCTGACGGGACTTGTTAATGGAAATTCTTGCATTTCAACTTAAAATTCATTGTTTGTAATCCAACTACATTTAACAGTGTTTTTGTTAGGTTCGTTAACCTTGAGGATACTACTGATTCGACTTATTCGGAACGGAACGAAGGCTCAGGATTCAGAGAATCAATAGACTATTCTGGTCCGTTGTCTTCGACTCAGCTAACTCGATCAAGAAGTCTTGGTAAGGCGTAGAAGTGTATTCTACAAGTAACAGCAGATACCAAGCCAGGTCAGGCAGATCAGATCAAGCATACAAGTCAAGCGTATTTATACAAATATATATCGATTTTGTCATAGGGAATTTTTAAACAATAATCAATTGTCTGCTATTTAATCAACTGACTGCCATTCAAATATTTAATCGATAAGTTAATCGATATGATAAAATTACAAAATATGAGTTTTGAGGATATGTAGTCCCCAACAGTTTTATTTTGACCCACGATTTCTTTTTCTGTAAAGAACTGAAGTTCAACAAACGAATGTAAACCATTTTCCTATTAATTATATTTTAATAATGAATGGATAATTTGATATTTATACAAAAACTTGATGCAAGAAATATCATTTATCTTATTAACAAAAAAATATTCTTATGCATCATAGATCGTGTGATATCTTCTATGCCGAAGCCTCAAAATCACTTAATTGGCCTAAACTTATGAAAACTATTCTTGATGATCCGGAAGGATTTGTTGAACAAGGAGGTTGGTCATTTATATCACCAGATGAAGTGAGTGCTATGATGATGTAGACAATAATTATACAAGTATTTTCACGTGTAATACCGAATACGACAATCTTTTTCTCTTGTTAATACATTTTCATTCATATGTGACTTCATTTCCGAGTGTTTAAAAAACTTTACGTCAGATGGTGTATATCAAGGAAGTCTGGCCTGATTAGCAAGTAAAAAATGTCACAGTATATAAACGATTTAGAGTGCCTTCGACTGAAGATACCTCTACCGATTGTCATCTTTTTTTATATGCATCATCCAAAGTCTCCAGCACTGGATAAGTTATTTCACGGATTTAAACAAGAGACTTCCTCAAAATATAGTGGATCAATAGTTAATAGCTTCATCAAATGCCATAACTTCATCCTCCTACTTACATGCTATCTTCACACAATTGAATATTTAAGATTTGTACGTCTTATTTGTTCCATGTTCCTCACATGTAAAGTAGGACAAAGCGTACTGTTGCACTAGACAGATAGATATTTTTTTAATGCCTGCAAAGTTTGGTGTAGGTTGACAGCAGACAAGCTATGATCTAATATTCGTGACGGAATTTCATCAGCCACCTTGACTAGTGAAACTTTGTAGTCAAATAAAGCATTTACACATATCAGTATTCTACTAGTCTAGTTAATAATAATAACAAAAGTAATTTATTTTCTGAATGTTAGGGCAAAATACCCGTCAGTTTACAGGCGTAATCAGGTTGATAGAAATTTTTAGATAGTAGTAGTACAAACAAATTTAATTTTTCACTCTGCATAAGCAAATTGGTGAGTATTACGCAATGAATATATTGTATGTATTGTATGTATTCCAAACCAAAAAAAGTAGATTCAGTGGACATAAAATTGTCTTTAATAGACAAACTGCTGGGAAATGTTAAAATGCTGAGCTTATTTTACTGATATGAGTGTGGAAACTACTACATATTCTCCGAATTAGGTAAGTGAAACGGTCTAAGCGTTAAAACCTTCAGTTTTTTTATTCCCATCATTTGACAGAGCCATTGTTACCGTTTAGACAGGTGAGTTTAAACAGTACTTTTATGTATATGGTTCCTCGAGAAATTAGGTGCAACAACGCAGCAGTGGTGGTATTGATGAACTTCAAAGAGCTTACCATCTCATATTTATATACTTAGTAGCCTTATAGACTTCAGCTAAACTTTGGAAGGTCTCATCAAGAAAAAAGACATCCAGCTTGCGGGCTTCCAAAAATTTATGGTTGTGGAGTTCTGGAGTACCAACATCACGTAGTGGTAGGGCTAATACTTTATGGTAATTTGATTCTTCTTCATATACAACATGTATCCGTTTATAACAAGAAACGTTACCGAAGTACCTACTGCTCAAAAGAATCTGGATGTGTCCTATATAACAATATTTCCTTATATCATACTCTTATCGTATTATTCTGATTGATTCGTCTATGTAGTATATGGTTGTGTTATTTATATAGTCTATCTTTCTGATATTTATGGTGGTTATACGCAACATGAGCCCGTCCTTATGTACACCGGCTCAAGTGGCCACACGACACAGTAAGATGTAATTATCATGACAAATCACAGCAGTAACAGTATTAGCGGTAGTAGAAAAGATGAGTTATAAAAAGAAAAAAAAAACTACAAGAGGGGTTTAACAGTTAATAAATAGATGCATCTCTGCCATTCTGAACCACGTCATCCAACGCCTTCAATTTCGGGTTACAATAATCACACTTGGACCCCAATCGTACAGTTTGTAACCACTTACATGGTTCAGTTCACCAGTTAGTGTCTTTGTTGACTGATGCTATGTCTTGTTTTAACCACTCCTAGCTTTCTTCCAACCTACTCATAAACCAGACGACATCACCCGTCTAAGTAGGTGGTGTTAAGAATATGTAATACATATTTCAATCGCCTCAGTCGATGAAGATTCACTACCTGACCAGTTGACAAAGAATATATATTATCTGTTGAACCTATTATTAATTGGTGTACTTAATAAGTTGCTTATGATAGAACTATTTTATGTATCACTTGCTCATACACTTTTTATTCTTTTAAAATAGGATGACGATGAAGATGAAGAGGACACGGAAGATGAAGATGAGAATTATGCACCGTCAGAAAGTGAGCTATCTGGCGATGGTGAGGAAGATGGAAGTGGTGATGAGTCTAGCGGTGATGATGAGGATTGGGAAGCTGAAGAAGAATCGGATGAACCAGAAAGTTTAGACTCAGATGAATCAGAAGGAAAAGATTGGGATGAATTAGAAGAAGAAGCTAGAAAAGGTTTGTGTCAAGTCTATAAGAATTTTAACTGAGCTAAATTAAATTCTCCGATTTGGATAGTTTGCTAGAGTACTACAAGCCCTCATAAAGACTGTAACTCAAAGTCTGATTATCCGAACTTGAGGGTATTTTATGGGAACAAATGAGTTTGGTTCATCGGACACTGATTTCATGACTGATATTTCAGCTCCCACTAGTCTATATTTTGTATACCCCTAACTATCCAGAAAATTAGACTGAGTGTTTAGTTCTAATGTTAGTTTAGTTACACGGATGATTCTGAAAACATTTGGAAAAAATGCTCATATCAATTACAATCCTTATATATCACTGATCCAATTAATTGAAGATATGGTTTCAACCAACAAACAACCTTAAATAGCTATAAATATTTGAAGGTTATTTCACAACTTTTTAACATATTTCTTGAATTAATTGTTGACATAAACAGAGATACATGGTAGCTAGTAGTGAAATCCAGGCCGCTATTTGGACTCAGTAGCTAAGTGGATAACATGGTGGCGTTCGAAGTGAATAGCACTTGGTACGCGCGTCCTGGATTTCATCCATCTCTGCTAATAATACTCTTGACTTAGGGTAATATCGAGACAGTCCGCACAGAATCCACATATGCCAAAAGAGACTGATCAACTGCAAACCTAAACATCAATGGAAAGATTCAAACAACCGATACAAATGAATTGAATTGTTGACATCTTTTTACAGAATATCATTCGACTTTGACTGACGTAAATTTAATTATATAGTTCGTTTTCAGCTGAGATGCTTAATCTATGTTTGACGAAATCTTTGTTAGATTTGTATGTGAATCCTTCTGTCTATACTATCCCTTTCCCTGTAATCTGTCATACTTTATCATATACTCCAAATATCACTAGGCATTGCAGTTTAAGTAACCAGGTAGTATTGCTAATTCGTGTGACACGTACGTGACTTAGATTGAAATATGTGTCTTCCTATAGGTTACTTTGTTGCTTAAATTGCTTATTGAAGTTTTCGATAAATTCTATCAATATTATATGTGTTCTCTTTAATGAAACTGTTTTAAGTGTATTCTACTCAGAATTTAACTACTTAGCTTATTTCCTCTTTTTTATTCTTACAGAGGATGCTAAAAATGAAATACCCGACACAGTACATCCAAAGAAACGTCAACGAGCCCATAGTCCGTCACCAGTATCGCATAAGAAATCTCGTCATGGAACAAAATCCCCAAACAAGAAAAATAAACGTTGATAGAAACCAAATTATTTTATTTGATTAAACAACTAACGGAGAAGCATTTTTCTTGGAATATCTCCTAGTTATTAATGTATTGTACAAAAGAATGTTTACTAAATATTAACGTGCACAATCTTCTTTCTAAGAAAAACAGATATCTATTATTATTATTATTATTATTATTATTATTATTATTATTATTATTATTATTATTATTATTATTATGTATGTATCATTCTTTTCTCGTGTCAAATTTACTGATATACTGTTTAAAATTCATTGTGTATGTGTAATCAAATTTATTATCTGTTGGCGAATTGTTTTATAGTTATACCACAGCAGAGGCTGAATCCGGAAACTTACATCAAAATTTTCTGTCCTGGAAAAAAAAATAATTTAAGTTATTAGTCAGTCTATTTTGCGGCCTAATGTTCATTAGATCATTTTATTCATAAAATTAACAGTTAGAGGTTCATGGAATATCAAGCAGTACTCGATATTAACCGTAAGAAACCAGAGAGTTATAACAGTGGCGACGGGGAAAAACTAAAGAAAAATGGCGATTTCTTTAGAACAGTTGCGGTTAATATTACAGCACCAGCAGAAGTTGTTAGCCTTGCAACAACAACTATTGAACACACTTTTCACTCGACCAGAAAATAAATCTGTTTATGATGCAGTAACAGACATTTCAGAAGCATATCTAGTGGAGGGTTCAAATCCCTTTATACCTGAATCAGAACGTAATATTTGTAACGTGTCCGGCTCACAGCAAGAAAATACTGTGCTGAATGCACATGAAGTTGTGACAATACCAGATGATCAGGAGCCAGGTCCTGTAGATGAAGCCCGGAGTCCAGAATCAAATGAAACACTACTGGTACTGTCTAGCTGCGAAAATAAACGTCAGCTCGAACAAAATTGTGGTCCACGTGCTATTAGTCGAGAAAGCTATGGTGACTCGTATTCAGAAAATAACTGGAGCAACACGATGAACCAAATTGTACCAGATGTTACTCAAAATCACCGGAAGACAGAATTTTATATTGAGTCGACTTATCCCATTTCTAATGACAGTGTACCAGATATTGATTCTCAGAATAATGCATAGGATTTTGATGAACCTTCTTATAACAATGAGGGAAATATGTCAGCTGAGTCGAATGATGGCCAAAAATCTAATCTAATTCTGTTAGACGTTGACTTTCTTAATGACTCGTTATCAGCTAACGAGATTCATAATGAATTTGAAAATAATGAACTCAGATCAAAGGTTGTTCATCATCATCTAGTCATTTTTAGTGGATTCTCCAGTCAATACGAGAAACATGGTTTAAATAAAGTCCTACTAGTTATAATTTGGAGCCATAAGGACCCAACATTATTTCGAGGAGGAGGAGAATGTTGGAGAATTAGAAGTTATGCATACTTTTTTTTAAGAAAAATCAAAACGCCGGGAACAGACATGTCAGTCTCTGTGCAAGGAAAAAGTGAGAATTCTTCATTGCCTAGACGATGGACTAATCGAAAGCACAAGCCAGTCACTCAGTTGCAGTTGGACCCTAGCACCAGATCCTACGAATCTGCTCAGAGGGGAGGTTAACAGAACATATTTCTGACTTCATGGGTTTGTACGTTAGGACATTTAGGTTTTATAATAAACAGTATTATTTATTTACTAGGTTATAAATCATTGTTCTTTATTCACCAATTTTAACTGACTAGTAATTTCGATTCCATCTCTGATTACATATGTTCACATTCATCGTAATTGTTTCCATTGGCAGGAGTGATATCTTGTATAACTATCTGATTCATACATGTATTTAAACGCTATGATGTGTAAATTTTAACTGTATTTTTGAGAAATCATGCTCCTACAGCTGCATTTGCTTTTCCATCCAATGCCCTTTTTTCTTAAATCTCTAGTTGTTCTACAATATTGTTTAGTCACACATCACAATAACACGAAACTCAGTAGAGATGGACAGATTTAGATATAAAGGACCAATTATTGAGAAAAGGTTCAAGTGAGATGTCCGTGATTTAAAACAAGGTGGATAGTTCTTAGTTGTACCATTGTCATATTAAAGCACACAGCGATGTAATAGAAATTCACTGATAATTATTGATTCCGAACTCCACAGTTTAATGGTATGTTGCTTGTCACAAATTATGACAGTTCTGTGTAAGATTGCACATTCTAGATTATTTTCTGACATGAAGATTTGCTACTTTGTAATATAAATTAAACGAAGTAACAAATGACCTTGTCAGTCGGCCGAAACCGAAGATGTCTGTTATTCGAGTGTCAAATTTCGACAAAAGAACTATGAAAAATCGTCTAGTGAGAGTGTCTGAAAGCTAGTGATTGAGTTCTGTCTCTATGCAACACCTAAAAGTATCAGCTAACTGTCAGTGTAGCAAATGAACATGTTTAATCGTTGATTCACTAAAGGTGTGTTTACTAGGGAATTTTGTGACTTATTTATAATTTCATTTACTGGGATGAGTTTGTGTCATTAGTTGATGCAATCTTTCTCATAACCGAGGAAGTTGGTATATTTTGACGAATTCCATTCGACTGATTGCTCAGTAACGATTTGTCGTGTCGCGATTTGGTCTGTGCATGACTGCTTCTTACAGAATCCGACCTTTTGGTCCTGGGGCTGGGTGTCTACTAAATTTTTCATCCAGTTAAACCCAGAACCTATCGGTCTCGCGCGCGAACACTTAACCTATAGACCATTGAGCCGTTAAACAACACTGTTGGAAACGTCTCCTTGTACTTACAGTTCCATGATGTCTCGACAGTCCCCGTATTTGCCTCGATTTCCGTTCGTTGGTTTCTTGATGAAGTGTCCTTTCCAGTCCGTTGGCATTTTCTCTTCCAAACCTTACTGAATAGAGTGTGGGGCGTGTTTGCGGTTAATTCTGTCTGACTTCGGCTGGTATGTTGTCAGGTCCGACTATAGGTTTTTCTGAAGGCCATTTTGATTTCTTCGATCGTTGGTGGAGTGCCTTCTACAGGGAGTTGTGTTTGTGTACCGCTTCGATGTCCGGTGGATTCAATAGAGCTGGTCTATTCAAAAGTTCCTTAAAGTGTCGGCTAGAGACAGGTATCTAAATTAAGAGATGGTCGCACAATTTTCTGAATTGGTTGATTACCCATATTAACACCTTTGGATGCCGGCTGGGGTTGTGGGTGCGCACTGCTGAGGAGTCTCAAAAAAGGACGAAACGGCCGTTCAGTGTTGGTTTAATGTCAATCGGTTCATGATCTCTATTAAAAATATATTTCTCTTGCAGCTCTTTCCGCCGTCCTTGCCAGGTTTCCACGTATTTCTGCTTGTCAGTTCTAATACTCTTCTTGACTTGTTTGTTTGCTTCTGTGTATTTAGCTTGTGCCTTGATTTCCTCCGTTCTTGTTCGGCTGATGGTAACTGCTGTCTTGTTCTTTCTTTTCCAAATGTTGTTCAGGGTTTCGATAGAGATCCATTCTTTATGTTGATGCTTCTTTGCTGCTTGGAAAATTCTGACATGTTAGTGTTAGTTAGTGCCTCTTTGATCGCTTTCCAGTTATTCTCCATAGTAGTTTCCTCTTTTTAAGTGGATCTTGTAAGACTTGAAAGCTGTTGTTCAAAGTTATCTTGAATTCGTTGAGTTTGTCAGTATGTTGAAGAAAGGCAGTATCAGACCTTTTAATTCTGTTTGTACAGTTGTCCAATGCCTCTTTAGCTTTAGTTTCATCTCGGACACTATATGGTGGGGCTCTGAGTCTATGTACGTTCCTTTCTTTGCTCTCACAACTCCCATTGACCTGAATATTTAGTTATACAAAAATGGTCGATCTGATTCTCTGTAGTGTGATTCCATGAGATTCCAATTAGCCTTGTGTATGTATTTGTGGTGTAATATTGTGCCACCTATAAACATTTTATCGAAAGCACATAAATTCGTAAATCTAACAACGCTATTATTCATTTCTCCCAGTCAGTCCATGTTGTCCCTTGATATCTTCATATCCGGTGTTGTCCATTCTGACTTTGATGTTCAGGTCTTCCGTCAGGATGATCAGGTCTTTTCTTGCGCACTTCTTTACGATCGCATCTAACCTCTCATTAAACTGATCATTATCATCTCCATTGCTATGACTGATGAACGCACAGCACTGGGCAATTTTCATTTTAACCTCTTTATTTCGATTGTTGATTTGATCATGCATCAGTAAGATCCTCATCTTATAAGTGCTCTTCGTATTTTGTTGAAATGCATCATTGCGATTACCTGTTTAAGTGAAGCATTTTCTTGTTCGCAACCAGATTGTCTATACATTCCATGTACTGATGTTAATTATTGTTCAGTTTGTTAGAAGGAGCATTGACTTCGTGGCTTCCGAAGAATCTTGGCTTTCTTTTTGAGGCGTCATACTTTTTTTCACTGAAAGCCCTTCAACTCTCGTGGCAGAGTTCAAATGTTTCAAACTTTTTTCTGGTTGTCATTTGTCAAGTAAGATTCAGGATTTACACCGGCCTCAAAGTTTAACCTCATAATCAACTCTGCTTTTGGAGAATCCTGTAAAGTTTCTAGAAAGATCTCCGAAATTTTTTAAGAAAAGTAAACGAGAAATACGTGATATTTTCCTCACCATTTGACAGTTTTCCCAAAACCACCACTCAATAACCTCACAATTTCAAGTTTTCCTCGAATGTTCCGTTTTTAAAATATTGAGGTTATTTGCTGTTTGCTTTTGTTTATAGTAGACATTCTGACGTTATACTAACTACCGTATTCGACTTATTCAAACCTATGACAATCAATAAATTAGTGAATGTTTCTAAAAACGGCAAACTGATGATTGCAACGTATGAGTTTCAAGACGTAATCAAGGTAGTATATTCTCAAATGCTCTTCAATGTCTTAGTTATACACCACACTGGTGCGGTCCTACCTAGTAGTGGAGATAACTAAAAGGGGAAATTAACAAATCTAATCATTTATGGCCATTAGGTTGTGAAGTTATTCAGGATAGTTATTTGTCTGAGAACAATATAATTTGCTCAATAGTCCTGGCTTTGACTGAATCAAAAATAAATGTCTTAAGTAAATTTTGAATCGCACCATTGATGGATTATTTTATTTAGTATATAAGTTGCGTAAGATTACGTAGACAAAATATAACTTCAAAACTTTCTAAAAATGCCTTGACGATACACAAAAGTGACTTAGAAATTTTTGTATTCACAATTTATAGCCTGATAAATCTAAAGAACACATTCTCTCTCCAAGCAAGTGTAGAGTGGCACAGCTATGGAAGTGCAACAATTAAGCGAATACTATGAACTTCAAGACATGAAATTAAAATCTTATTTAAATCAATCTTTAACGTGTTTTTTATGCATTAAACTGACGAAATTCTTCATTTGATAAACTATGGTCGCATAACATCGTGCTCCATGGTTTAATAAAACTTCAGCCATAATATAATTGACAGAACACAC